TTTTTAACCCAATTTAATTAGCCTACCTGAGTATAATAAGTTACGTTTTTACAGAATGGCATTACATATGTGGAAATGTAAAAAAAAAAATCACATTTACAGTTTCACATGTAAGAAACATTCACATGTGAAAATCTAACTTTCACATGTGGAATTGCATGTTCACATTTGGTGGTGAAATAGTGTTATTCTCCTCACATGTGAAACGGTGTTGTTAACATGTCAACTCTACATTTAATACATGTGAAACGGTGTTGTTAACATGTCAACTCTACATTTAATACATGTGAAAATATAGTTTTACATTTTGAAATTTAAGCTAAAAATTGTGAAAACAGCTATTTCATATGTGAAAATGTGATTTCACATGTGAAAATGCGATTTCACATGAAACTGTGATTTTCACATGTGAAACTGCAAATTTGGCGTGTTTATTTTGTAAGGGCAGACAGGCCTTCAGCTAAAACAGAGGAAGGAGAGGGGAGGTAAGGAGAGGGGAGGGCAGGAAAGGGGAAGGGGAGGTAGGAGAGGGGAGGGGAGGGCAGGAGAGGGGTAGAGGCAGGATGAGGGGAGGTAAAGGGGAGAGGTAAGGAGAGGGGAGGGTGAAGGAGGGGAGGGCAGGGGGAGGGCGAGGGCAGGAGAGGGGAGGTAAGGAGAGGGAGGTAAAGGGGAGAAGGTATAGGAGAGGGGGAGGGCAGGGTGGGGATGGTAAGGAGAGGGGGAGGTAAGGAGAGGGGGAGGGAGGGGAGGGCGAGGACAGGATGAGGGGAGGTAAGGAGAGGGGAGGGAGCAGGGTGGGGAGGGTAAGGAGAGGGGAGGTAAGGAGAGGGGGAGGCAGGGGAGGGGAGGGCAGGAAGAGGGGAGGGAGGAGGAGAGGGGAGGGAGGAGGAGGGAGAGAGGGACAGGAAGAGGGGAGGTTAGGAGTGAAAATGTGATTTCACATTGAAAATGCGATTCAGAACGTGATTTACATGTGAACTGCAATTGGCGTGTTATTTGTAAGGGCAGACAGGCCTTCAGCTAAAACAGAGGAAGGAGAGGGGAGGTAAGGAGATGGGAGGTAAGGAGAGGGGAGGTAAGGAGAGGGGAGGGGAGGGCAGGAGAGGGGAGGGCAGGAGAGGGGAGGTAAAGGGGGAGAGGGATAAGGAGAGGGGAGGTAAGTAGGGGAGGGCAGGGGAGGGCAGGGTGGGGAGGTAAGGAGAGGGGAGGTAAGGAGAGGGGAGTGCAAGGAGAGGGGGAGGGCAGGAGAGGGGGGGCAGGAGAGGGGAGGTAAGGAGGGGAGAGGGGAGGGCAGGGAGAGGGGAGGGTAAAGGGGAGAGGGTAAGGAGAGGGGAGGTAAGTAGGGGAGGGACCAGGGTGGGGAGGGGTAAGAGAGAGGGGAGGGCAATGAGAGGAGGGGAGGGAGGAGAGGGGGGGGGAAGGAGAGGGGAGGAAGGAAGAGGGGAAGGAGAGGGGAGGAGGAGAGGGGAGGGTAAGGAGAGGGGAAAGGCAGGAGAGGGGAGGGGAAGGAGAGGGGAGGGTTAAAGGGGGATGGGTAAGGAGAGGGGAGGGCAAGGGGGGGGGGAAGGAGAGGGGAGGAAAGGGAGAGGGAAAGGAGGGGGGAGGGCAGGGTGGGGACGGGAGGAAGGGGAGGGCAGGAGAGGGGGAGGGCAGGGCAGGAGAGGGAGGTAATGAGAGGGGAGGGCAGGGGGGGAGGTAAGGAGAGGGGAAAGGTAAGGAGAGGGGAGGGCAGGAGAGGGGAGGTAAGGAGAGGGGAGGTAAAGGGGAGAGGGAAGGAGAGGGAGGGAGCAGGGGGGGAGGGTAAGGAGAGGGGAGGGACAGGAGAGGGGAGGGTAAAGGGGAGAGGTAAGGAGAGGGGAGGGGCAGGGGGGGAAAGGGTGGGGAGGTAAGGATGGGGGGACGGTAAGGAGCGGGGAGGGCAGGGAGGAGGGGGAGGGCAGGAGAGGGGAGGTTAAAGGGGGCGACGAGGTACGGAGAGGGGAGGGCAGGAGAGGGGGGGGGCCCAGGGAGGTAAGGAGGTAAGGAGAGGGTAGAGGGCAGGAGCGGAGGGTCGGTAAAGGAGCGGGTAAAGGTAAGGAGAGGGGAAGGCAGGCGAGGGGAGGTACGGAGCGGGGAGCGGTAAAGGGGAGAGGTAAGGAGAGGGGCGGGTAAGGGATGCGGGGGGCGCCAGGGCAGGGCAGGAGGAGGGGGAGGGCCAGGGTGGGAGGGTAAGGAGAGGGGAGGGCAGGGGTGGGGAGGGCAGGAGAGGGGAGGGCAGGAGAGGGGAGGTAAGGAGAGTGGAGGGCAGGGGTGGGCAGGGGAGGAGAGGGGAGGTAAGGTAAGGAGAGGTAAGGAGAGGGGAGGGCAGGAGAGGGGAGGGCAGGGGTGGGGAGAGAGAAAGCCATGGTTATTTCCCCGTTGTACACCAGAACTTACAGTGGGGAGACTCTGTGCAGCTAGGATCACCTGTAGAGAGTACCACAGAAAGAGTCAGCTCATCCTCACAATCCCAACACTCAACTGGTCCATGTGCTTGTTGTTTAATAACATTATCCTCACAATCCCAACACTCAATCCTCCCCCACTCCTCCTTCCCCCCCCACCCACCCCACACCCCCCCCCCCCTCAACCCTCCCTCACTCCTCCCTCCTATCCCACTCTCCCTCACTCCTCCCCACTCCTCCCCTCTCCTCCCTCCCTCCTCCCCACTCCTCCCTCGTTCCTCCCCCACTCCTCTCCCTAAACTGTTACATTTCCTCAGTACAAGACAGGACATTCTAAGGGGATGGTTTTGACTCCCACAGTGTTGACTCAGCCTGTATATACAGCAGCTGATTTACTTTCTCCTGTTCTTCCTATTTCTATTTCTCATGCGTTTTTGTTCTACTTTATAGTATAATATTTGTATTACTGGTATTGATTACTGCATTGTTGGGTTTAGAGTTTGCAAGAAAGGCATTTCACCGTACTTGTGCACGTGACAATAAAACTTGAGACTTGAATAAGGTGTCATTACAGATATGTCTTACCCTTAGTTTATATGTATAATGAGACAGGTTGAGTCACCATTAGTTTATATGTGTAATGAGGCAGGTTGAGTCACCATTAGTTTATATGTCTAATGAGGCAGGTTGAGTCACCATTAGTTTTATGTCTAATGAGGCAGGTTGAGTCACCATTAGTTTATATGTCTAATGAGGCAGGTTGAGTCATCATTAGTTTATATGTCTAATGAGGCAGGTTGAGTCACCATTAGTTTATATGTGTAATGAGGGGTTGAGTCACATTAGGGTTGAGTCACCATTAGTTTATATGTCTAACGAGGCAGGTTGAGTCACCATTAGTTTATATGTCCAAAGAGGCAGGTTGAGTCACCATTAGGTTGTTCTTGCCCTAGAACCTACTCATAAAGAACAGATGACTGATTAAACTACAGTCAACTGGTGTCTTAGGTTTACAGTCCACAAACCCATGACCATCCTCCAACATATTATTCCTCTGAGTGGAGAAATTAAATGAATTAGGTCTTACAATTTCCTCTACCACCCTAGAAACAAGATCATGGCAAAGATTGAGACACAGCTCATTAAATCAAAATATGATGTCCTCTACCCATGTATCCCCTTTGCTCTTAGATTGGAACAAATAAGAACATCGTCAACAGAAAGATTTGCACCAGTGTCCAGTAAATATTTTATTTATGACCGTTTTGCTATTACTTGTACATTTCCATGGCAGCAAATTGTTTAGGAGGTGTGGCAGAAAGGCATGCTGATTGATGATTGAGCTGGGACCACGTTAGTCTGGTGTGTAGAGGAAAAATCACCGACTGAAGCATGTGAGCCGTCGAAGTCGGGGAGAGGGTCAATCTCACAAAGAACCTCAATTCTCCTGTCTTTCTTAGTGACTTCTCTGTAACGCATGGATTCCTATGACGTTTCTGACTAAAATAATGGACCATGACATGGATGGCGGTGTTGGCTACATCAAGCATTATGGTAAATACAGGACATGGATCAAATGTATAGGTACAAATGTTTCTGTCAATAGACTACCCTGACTCCCAGATATTCGTGAAATCACTTCAATCACTGCTAAGGGAGTTGTTGCAGGGAGCTAGTTGTTATCATTTTCAGTGGTCTCTGATTGCCTTAGCTCAGCTTTGCCTCACTGGCGTACTGCTAATGGACCTGTACATTTGGGGAATTCCACATTTATTTGCTCACCGCTGCTGTCCTGTGTTTAAATATCACACTGCTGAACACTTGCCTTTGTTGAAGGAAACGGTTCTGTTTATCTAGAGTGGATTGCAGGGTTGTGATTAATAAGTACCAAGTGGAAGAGAAAGGACTGAAACAGAGCGGGGACTTCCTGGACTTTTCCAATAAGAAATGCTATTTTTCGTTTTTACACTGCAAAACATTTCAAAAGGTTTTGTGTCGTGTGCCCTAATGATCCGGAAGGAGCCAGGTGATTAAGGATACCTTAGCTGTTGTTCTTCCTATAAATACACACATTCACATGATTGTGCAGCCATTTGATTTGTGCCTCATGGGTGGTTCCCCCATTGTAAAAGGGGCTGCCCTGCATCCATACGTGACCTTCATGAGGATTAATGATGATATCCAAGCACTTCAGCCTGACGTGAAAATCTCAAAGGTTGACTCTGATAATGAAACTGTTGAGAGGAAGTAAGTTATGTATACAGTATCTATATATGCATTTGGTCTTGCCTAACAATTTGTGTTCTTGTATTTCTCTGTCCATTCACTTGCCCCTCTTAAAAAGTTATAATTTACAACAGCACTCAATGAAGAGACTTGTTGTGGTCCATTATCACAGAACAAAGCCTCAGCCTCAGCCTCCCATACTTTATTTGACCACAAACTAGGGGCTCTATTTAATCCGTATCGCAGGAATTCAGCGTTACAGCGTGATTTAAAGGCAATGTTCCCGCGTTAGCGGATATTGCATTCACGGTCAACGCTGCAGATGTCGGCTCAATCTGTAACGCTTCAGTGATACAGATTGAATAGAGCCCTAGAGATGTTTTCCCCATAAACAAAAACTGGGAGGAGACTCGTAAGTGCATGGAATGTTTTTAAATCATTTTGAAAACATTTACAACTGTTTAGGACAAAAAAAGGTTACAAACAGAATTGACCTGCAGTTTGCATCCATTTTAAAATGTTGCATAAATAAAACTCATATTTATAAATATCTCTTTTATAAACATATAAATAGTTTTAAAAACATAAATACATTTATGCGGAATGAAAGTACACGAATGTACAGCAGCAGCGACAATATACAGCTTTGCGGTTTCTAGTTTTTCCACCATGATCCGCCATCTTGTAGTGTGTGTTGGCCTTTCTTTATGTTATACATATGGGTTGCTTTTATCATTGTTGTCTCAGTCCTTGAATATGTTGGTCATGGTGGCTTTTCGTACCAAAAATCGGTCACTTTTTTAGGTTTGTTTCCTCAGGCATGGACCAACTTAATCCAAGTTGTCCAAACCCATCGTCTGAATGCTCTGGGAAGAAAGAAGAAAAAACACGGTTAGATGGATCTGTTCACAGAAAGCTTTAAATAGATGGATATGTTCACATAAACCTCTAAATAGATGGATATGTTCACAGAAACCTCTAAATGGATGGATCTGTTCACAGAAACCTTTAAATAGATGGATATGTTCACAGAAACCTCTAAATGGATGGATCTGTTCACAGAAACCTCTAAATAGATGGATCTGTTCACAGAAACCTCTAAATGGATGGATCTGTTCACAGAAAACTGGATATGGATATGGACAAGTTCCCACAAAATAAAGCGGCTCACCTGTCAGCCTCACTAAAACAAACTCTCTAAATAAACAGTCTCACTGCACACCTCTGCTCCACCCAACCACATGAAGTCCAGCCCTTGCCTCTCACACAATCCTGAATTGACCGTCCAATACTCCTCTCATCTCCCACTTCTCACTTTAAAGTTTGGTAAAGGGAGGAAGAGAGTTGTCTGCCCAAGAAGCACACACAGTTAGTCACGTACTGTATAGACAGTCTGTTAGCCACAGCGTACGCAGGAGCCACAACAGCCCCCCCCCCCCCAGCAGGATTTCACTGTTAGCCACACACAACCACATAAAGGCCAAGCGTGCTTTTCACCTGGTTTCCTCATTGCCTCATTCTGCATACCGCCCCTTTAATGTTTTGCTTTTTTATATCCGAGCAAAGAGGAAGGGTTTCCTGGAACATACCTCTTAGGATGCTGTGTGGTGTGGTGTGGATGTAGGTTGAAGAGGTTGTGGTGAGTGTGTCATCTACATAGAGAGGAGACCTGCCTCTCCTCCCCCCAGTCACTTTACCACACAACCACTAAAGCCAAGCGTGCTTTTAGGTTTCTCATTCCTCATCTGCTACGCCCTTAATGTTTTCTTTTTCTATCGCAACTCATGACTCGAGAGAGCGCGAGCGCTATAGATCTGATGTCTTCCTCTGATCTGTCTCTCTCTCTCTCTCTCTCTACTCTCCTCTCTATCTCTCTCTCCTCTCTCTCTCTCTCTCTCTCTCTCTCTAGTTGTTCCTCTTCCTACCTACTAGAGACTGGTCAATTACGTAATAATTGTTCCACAATCCGTTCTGCTTCATCAACGACCTTTGGCCCAAACGCTGAGATCTACTGTAGATCTTAGTGTTAGGCCAAAGGACTGTTGATAAAGCAGACTGGATTGTGGCCAGGTGATGAAGTCATCTACATGTCCTCATTGTGTTCACACCTGCCCCATTAGGCCTTCAGCCAAACAGCCATGATTACTTATGACGATGTACTGCAATGTGTATGGACTTCCTAAGGCCAATTGGATCGCTTCCCACAGACTTGAAACATTTCAAGAGGGGGATTCCTGATCTCATTCTACGGGGTTTTGTCCTAAACGCAAAGTCAATACAGTGTTCTGTTAGAGCATCAGAGGGAAACACCGTTCGGACCTGAAATTCTCTCTCCCACTGTCCCACATGGGAAATGCACATGCAGATAGCACATAGATGGACCGCTTGTAAAAGTCCATTTGGAGTTGTAGTAGTCAGTAGGCCTCAACCAAAAGGATTAGCCTGTAGGATTTACCCCTACTCTGAAGTTTGAGGTCAGGCCATGTGTCGGTGCACAGATAGGGGTCAACCTGTTCCCCAGCACCAGCGCCTTTGCCCTCCCACTTGCCAAAAGTGCCCTTTTTTTGGTGGTGGTATAAGATTTTTTTTTGTATACAGTTTTTGTCGTTGTTGTTCTGAACCCACTGACCGCAATTAGTCGTGACGTTGTGAAGTGTTATCAAGTGTTAATCAAACGTTATGCTGCCGTGGCAGTACTGTTGATATTTAAACTACGTAGCTAGCTACACACAATCGACCGGTAACCGCATCTCAAGCCATGCATGTTTGGATACTGGGCATGCGAGCTGCCCTCTACGGAGCTCGCATGCCCAGTATCCAAACATGCATGGCTTGAGATGCGGTCACCGGTCGATTGTGTGTAGCTAGCTACCTAGTTTAAATATCAACAGTACTGCCACGGCAGCATAACATTTGATTAACACTTGATAACACTTTTATTTACATCGTCATCAATATTGGTTCTGATTGGCTGATACGCGCAGCAGAGCGAGGCAGAAAGACATAGAGAGGAGCGGCTGCATCTGCGACCTTCCGACTCAACTCCATCCATTCTCCAGTCGGGAGATGAACGTGTGTGACAGGGCAGTAGCATCACAGGTAGACTCCAGCTAACCCCATATACTAAAATATCCACACAAGCCACTGTGAGTTAGAAGATTGTGAATATTAGGCTATATTATGAAGTCATTATTTAAGAATTTAAGAGCATTGAAGATAAATCACAACGTTTTAACATTTTTTGAGCATAGGCCTATTTATTTCTGCAACAACACACTTGTCACAAATGCAAGGTCGTTACAGTGCCTCCTAAATGCATGACTGACATCGGGAAAAGAGGGTGGGCTATCAAGCTGATCATTGGTGTTGAGGATGAATGTCAATCTGCTAGTTAGCTAGCTTTAATTTTTATGAATTTCGAGAAATGAATTATGAATGTGTTTTTTTTCTTCAATTTGAGCACCTGCCCCCTGAAAGGTCTATGCACCACCCAGGTTGAGAAATTGCAACATTTTGCCAGTCTGACCTGCTCACAAGGGGGCCACCTGATCGCCTCCACAAGCATACATGGACATTTACTGCAAACTGTTCTATACTCTTACAATCTGTAGTCTATGGGTGACTCATCTGAAATGCACACAGGAGTTACGTTGGGGATTTTGGAGTTGGCCTATGGAACTGTCAGGTTGTTTTCCAATTGTATTTTTTTTTAAACATAAATATATTACATTCGCCATTTTGTCTCCCATCCTAAAGTGTTGGGGGATGTACGTTCCTCCTGATTTAATCACACGATGCGCAATTGCGCATGGAGAAAGGGAGATAGCGCGGGAGGTTACTTACCAACAAGTCTTGATGTGCCTTCTCTAACAGCCCATGCCGCTAATGGTTCCTATTCTGTCCATTTTGTGTCCGAAGCAACCGCTCCGGGCCGCGGACCCTTTCTTGGTGTTTGATTTGTGTCTCCGTGCGCTGGGCTGGTCGTTCAGCAGGCGTGCCCACATGGCCTTGGCGCGAGTGTCCATGCGCAGGTCTCGCAGCAAGCGTACCCTGGAGCGCACTTTTTCCAGCCTCTGCTCTCTCTCGCCCGACGCCATGAACTCCGACAGTTCCTCCCCCAGCAAACTTCTAAGAGACTGGAACACAGAAACAAGAGACACCCGCTTTAGATAATACATTCTCCATGGAAACGACTTGGGTAAGCACCTGTCAGCAGATTGCGCATCTGGGAATGATTCTGATTAACGACAAATCTGCATATTCGGGACATCAATTGCCTACTTTGGCAAGCAGTAAACTCACTATCCGGCACTTTTTCCAACACTTTTGTTTTCAACTGGCCTTATAAATGTATTTATGTTCCATATCAAACCTTTCCGCAATTATAGGCTACATTTACTAATGTTAGTGCTGTCTACACTTGACTCGCGTCGGGAAGAACCAAAAGACAGGTCAGAACTCGTCGTGTAGCTACTAGCTACTGAATAGAAATCACGTTAAATGCTGCAATTAATTGGCCCATCCTTTAAACCAAATCCTGAATTTGTGTGTGGTCATAGGCTACAGTTGCGCTTTAACGCATGGGAAACGGTGTGTAGCCCACCCTACTGATTGGTTGAATAAAGCGATTATCACGGGTCAGAAATGAGTCTCCCAGTCCCGGGGTTTCTTGGATGCAGCTGGAAAGACAGGTGCTCGTGCAGTAGGAGACCCACTTCGCACAGACGTCAGTTCAAAGTCTAGTTTTTAATTTACATTTGGTTGAGTTGTCAACTGACGTGAATTCAACGTGAAATCAACAAAAAATGTCACCATGTCATTGGATTTAGGTTTAAAGTTGGTTAGAAAAAATTACGAAATTCCCTTACATTGATGACTTTTTGCAAATCCAATCAGTTTTCCACGTTGATTGAACGTCATCATATTGATTTTTGTTGTTGTTGAAATGACGTGGAAACAACGTTGATTCAACCCGTTTTTGCCCAGTGGGTATAGTCTTCAAATGCAGATTATTCAGGCAACAAAAACGCACCAGATGAGATTTTGAAAACAATTTATAAACTATATGAATTAGTCACTGTGAGGATTATTCGTGCGTAAAACATCCAGTTTCGAAATATTTGGCTATGAGTCTCTTGATGGCAGATGCGCCTTTTCGACGAGTGGGAAAGGGATGTTTTCTGGTTTAAAATACACGTTACAAAGAAATGTATGATTGGTTGCCTTATATAGCCTACTAAGTCAACATGTATGTTACATGTAGGAAGCGCAAAAGGTCATTTGGGTAGACTACATGCAAAGGCCACTGTGCCCTCGTATCCTATGTCCACTCGAGCGCTTCTCAAGGCGCGCTTGGGTACCAGCATGAATATATAGTCAACCTTACGCAATTAAGTAGCCCAAGTGGCTGTAGGTTTGCTGTAGAACACAGTATCTATCCATATATTGCCCTGATAGTTTTTGCTAAAAACAAAAAAAACAAGCCTTTCGTTTCAGGAATAGCCTATGCATTTGTTAAGAAAGATACACACGTCTATCTTCAATACGACCAGTGCAATGTAAATGCAATGGTCTTAGACATAAATAATAGGCTTACTGTAACAATATTAGGAATATTAAAAACGGTAACAGGATAGTCTATAGTATAGCCTAAGCTATATACGATACATGACCATTGATAGTCTGCATGCCAAGAGATACATTCCCAGTAGTCTATATACTTGCATCTGTTGTTAATGTTATTTTGGGGCACCATAATGTGGAATAATATTAGTTCGGCTATAGCTGCGCACCATGCAAAAAAATAGTTATCCAAAGAATCGCATTCCACTCACAAATTACAGCGCACACATCAATGAAGTGACCTCACCTTCTGTTGCGCTGGCGTCAGAGGCTTCGCCCCTGTCCTCAGTGAAAGCAGGGTGATCATAAGTCCACATGCCACCAAATGTGAGATGTTCATTCTGACAAGTTTTTTTTTTTGTGAAAGGACTCCTCTTTGGCGAAGTTCAGTATACGATAAATTATATTGGTTGGTAACCAATTGGTTCTCCGTCTCTGCGTCGGTTTTTACTCCAAGCTTCCCAAGTGCTACTCTAACTCTGTGAATTACTACTCACGGCTTTATAGCCAGCCGCCTGGTGATGTCATGACAACCTGCGTAATGGTCTTCCCTCCCTCCCTCCTGTACCTTGCCAATCTCGGGGTTTTTTTCAGCATAGGCCTACCTGCGTAGTCTATTGAGGAGCGCGTCATGCTAAATTATGAATTAAAATACCTACACTGGTCATTGTGGCTTCAATTAATGAACAAAAAAAAAGACATTACATTATTGTTACACCATGCACCACGCCGACTGGTTTGCCTCCAAAACAGTACTTTAATTGCTTTGCTTGAAAATGAGAAATTATATGTAATTCACAACTGTTGAAGTGTGGCATTGGCAGACACACGATGCTTTATTAAAATGCCAACCGCCCACTGCGAGGAAATGAGGTTGGACGATGAGTTCCAAAGAAATCAAGACCTAACTTGTTAGATGCAACAGATTTTGTGGGGAATGATAAAACCCACTCATTAACGCAGAATTACCAAATTGTGGGGGGGGGGGGAATTAATCAAACGCCATTCCAAAAGATGTACTGTCTTGGTAATTTCTATTAGTTTAAAACAAAAATAAATGTGTGTTTTTGTTTAGAATTATGTATTCGTTATTCAGCTGTATTTGCTATTGATATAGATTAACTCATAATAACAAATAGGCCTATTCAGCCTGTGCACCAACATGCGCATTAGTTCCGAAGAAAATAATTAATAAGGCGTAACTTTAAAACACGAGCCCCTAAAACTTGAATTCAAAAATATCTAGGCTATTCCAACCGCTCCAACCTCCTTGTAAATGAGATTGAAACTGAACGAGGGGGGTTGTGCGTCTTGCGGACCTGCTGTAGAATAGTAGCCTAATATGTGCTCTTTGATAGGCGGTTTCCTTGGTCATTGTCAGTAATTGGTGGATAATAGACGATATTGATGCTCATTTACTTTATATCAGTGCATCCATTTGTGCATCGACCTGGGGAGATTGATGGGTTTAATCTCCCATGCGATTTCCATGCAACTGCAAACATTATGTTTATGGATGCCTGTCCCTATAACGTGCACTCTAATCCTTCAATCGCGCTCAAAAGCCTATGGTTCATTCGATTTGTCGAGCGTGTCAGACCCCACAAACATCACTGATGCGACAGAGGTGACATAGCGGAGCCCTCGTGAAGATGCTCCGTTTGCCTATGCATCCTCCCTGTTACGCACAGGCACATTGAATGAACCATGGTCAAATCTGACACTCATTTCAGGGCTGTAATTAAAAAAAACAGACATTTTAAATTATTCTGTAACACTTTGTCATGAAGGAAACCCGTTGTCTTTTGACATACGTCTGCACACTGCAGCGCGCGTTTCTCTTAAGAGCAAGTGGCCGCGCGCTTGACTTCAGTAATGCATGGTTGTCGATTGCAAACGCAGCGAAGAAACGGGTGGAAATGGCTAAAGTTCCATCGACGAGCAAAATGATGAGCTTTGGAGAGGTGAGCTCGAGCTAAGGCACATTCTGTTGAAGCACCTTATGTTTTAGACCACAGAGTGGCAGTATTTGCTCTCTCGAAATACCAAAGGACTAAACATTAATTCCCCAAAATAAGTCCGTTGCTTACCTTATTTACTATTGCTTACTGTATTTACTATTGCTTACTGTATTTACTATTCCTTACGTTATTTACTATTGCTTACTGTATTTACTATTGCTTACTGTATTTACTATTGCTTACTGTATTTACTATTGCTTACTGTATTTACTATTTACCTAACATCACCTCATATTTTCTCGGTCTTAAAGATTGGAAACAGTCATAATTTTCATTCAGGTTGAGGGTAAATTGATAGTTCTCTTTCTGTTAGGATTACTTTCCTGACCCATGTGATCCATGTTGCATACAAGGGACCTAGTCCTGAGAGTGGTAGGGTTCTAGTCCTGAGAGTGGTAGGGTTCTAGTCCTGAGAGTGGTAGGGTTCTAGTCCTGAGAGTGGTAGGGTTCTAGTCCCGAGAGTGGTAGGGTTCTAGTCCTGAGAGTGGTAGGGTTCTAGTCCTGAGAGTGGTAGGGTTCTAGTCCTGAGAGTGGTAGGGTTCTAGTCCTGAGAGTGGTAGGGTTCTAGTCCTGAGAGTGGTAAGGTTCTAGTCCTGAGAGTGGTAGGGTTCTAGTCCTGAGAGTGGTAGGGTTCTAGTCCTGAGAGTGGTAGGGTTCTAGTCCTGAGAGTGGTAAGGTTCTAGTCCTGAGAGTGGTAGGGTTCTAGTCCTGAGAGTGGTAGGGTTCTAGTCAGTAGCAGTGCGTGGGTAAAATCACTGGGGGAAGCAAGGCACTGAACCCTAATTTGCTCCAGGAGCTCCATACTACTATGGCTGAACCTGTAAAACAACACTTTTCACTGCACCTATCTGGTGTATGTGACAATAAAACATCTTTATTTTTTATAATACAATACAACCCAATACAACCCAATACATCCCAATACAACCCAATACAACCCAATACAACCCAATACAACACAATACAACACAATACTAGAGAATGGCGCCGGAGAAGATGGCTGCCGTTTTACAGCCCTCTAACCAATTGTACTATTATGTGTGTTTTTCCGCGTTATTTGTAATTTATTCTGTACATAATGTTTCTGCCATCGTCTCTTATAACCAAAAAGAGCTTCTGGATATCAGGACAGCGATTACTCACCTTGTATTCTTCAACAAGTCAGACGCGAAGGATATCCTACAGACACCCGACAAGGCCCAAATCCCCGTCATTCGCATGAGAAAGAGACAGAGATATCGTGGACGTAGGTCGGGGTGCCTTGTAAGGATCCGACGGCGAGCGAGTAAACTGCCTCTTCCATCAATCCTATTAGCCAATCTTCAATCATTTGAGAATAAATTGGATGACCTAAGATTACGTTTATCCTACCAACGGCACATAAAAAACGGTAATATCTTATGTTTCACAGAGTCGTGGCTGAACGACGACATGTACAACATACAGCTAGCGGGCTATACGCTACATCGGCAGGATAGAACGGCTGACTCCGGTAAGACAAGGGGTGGCGGTCTGTGTATATTTGTAAACAACAGCTGGTGCACAAAATCAAATACTAAGGAAGTCTCAAGGTTTTGCTCGCCTCAGGTAGAGTATCTTATGATAAGCTGTAGACCACACTATTTACCAAGAGAGTTTTCATCTATATTTTTCATAGCTGTCTATTTACCACCACAAACCAATGCTGGCATTAAGATTGCACTGAATGAGCTGTATAAGGCCATAAGTGAACAGCAAAGCGCTCATCCAGATGCAGCGCTCCTAGTGGCCGGGGACTTTAATGCAGGGAAACTTAAATCCGTTCTACCTAATTTCGACCAGCATGTTAAATGTGCAACCAGAGGAAAAAAAAAACTCTAGACCACCTTTACTCCACACACAGAGACGCATACAAAGCTCTCCCTCGCCCTCCATTTGGCAAATCTGACCATAACTCTATCCTCCTGATTCCTGCTTATAAGCAAAAACTAAAGCAGGAAGCACCAGTGACTCGGTTAATAAAAAAGTGGTCAGATGACGCAGATGCTAAGCTACAGGACTGTTTTGCTAGCACAGACTGGAACATGTTCTGGGCTTCTTCAGATAGCATTGAGGAGTACACCACATCAGTCACTGGCTTCATCAATAAGTGCATAGATGATGTCGTCCCCACAGTGACCGTACGCACATACCCCAACCAGAAGCCATGGATTACAGGCAACATCCGCACTGAGCTAAAGGGTAGAGCTGCCGCTTTCAAGGAGCGGGACTCTAACCCGGATGCTTATAAGAAATCCCGCCATGCCCTCCGACGAACCATCAAACAGGCAAAGAGTCAATACAGGACTAAGATTGAATCGTACTACACCGGCTCTGACGCTCGTCGGATGTGGCAGGGCTTGAAAACTATTACAGCCTACAAAGGGAAGCACAGCCGTGAGCTGCCCAGTGACACAATACTTCCAGACGAGCTAAACCACTTCTATGCTCGCTTCGAGGCAAGCAACACTGAAGCATGCATGAGAGCACCAACTGTTCCGGATGACTATGTGATCACACTCTCCGTAGCCGATGTGAGTAAGACTTTTAAGCAGGGCCGCAGGGCCAGACAGATTACCAGGACGTGTACTCAGAGCATGTGCTGACCAACTGGCAAGTGTCTTCACTGACATTTTAAACATGTCCCTGACTGAGTCTGTAATACCAACATATTTCAAGCAGACCACCATATTCCCCGTGCCCAAGGACACTAAGATAACCTGCCTAAATGACTACCGACCCGTAGCACTGATGTCTGTAGCCAGGAAGTGCTTTGAAAGGCTGGTCTTGGCTCACATCAACACCATTATCCCAGAAAAATCTAGACCCACTCCAATTTGCATACCGCCCCAACAGATCCACAGATGATGCAATCTCTATTGCACTTCACACTGCCCTTTCCCACCTGGACAAGAGTAACAAAGCTCATCACTAAGCTAAAGATCCTGGGACTAAACACCTCCCTCTGCAACTGGATCCTGGACTTCCTGACGGGCCGCCCCCAGGTGGTAAGGGTAGGTAACAACACATCTGCCACACTGATCCTCAACACGGGGGCCCCCTCAGGGGTGCGTGCTCAGTCCCCTCCTGTACCAATGACTGCATGGCCAGGCACAACTCCAACACCATCATTAAGTTTGCCGACGACACAACAGTGGTAGGCCTGATCACCGACAACGATGAGACAGCCTATAGGGAGGAGGTCAGGGACCTGGCCGTGTGGTGCCAGGATAACAACCTCTCCCTCAATGTGACCAAGACAAAGGAGATGATTGTGGACTACAGGAAAAAAAAGAGGACTGAGCACGCCCCCATTCTCATCGACAGGGCTGTAGTGGAACAGGTTGAGAGCTTCAAGTTCCTTGGTGTCCACATCACCAACGAACTATCATGGTCCAAACACACCAAGACAGTCGTGAAGAAGGCA